ACAAATTTTCCATAGGAAGTCTTTTCATAAATTTTCATCACTGTTTAGAAGTGGGGACATAGTAAATCTTGCCTCAGCTTGTGAATGTTAGTAACTTGTTAGTGCTCATTGCATTCACCAAAGAGCTTTGTAATTATTTTCATGGACAATCTTTGAAATATCAGATTTGACAAAGAAGAAGCCTCAATTAAGTAAGGTCAAAAAATGTTGTACTAATAACATATTTGACAGACAGGGAAGAGACAAACAGCAAGACTCAGAAAGCAACTGTTCTTTCTTGTTTGATAGAAACTAAGACACAGGCATCCTTGCCAAGGTATAGAGCCTCAGAGAATAAGCCATCTAACCAATCAAGTAGTTTGGGTATCCTTTCACACAATTTAATCACAGTATTAAAAAATCACTCACCTTTTTTCAATGAAAAAGATCAACAGAATCTGAGATGGTCTGAGTCAGCAAAATCAATATAGAGGCAGGGGAGCATAAAATACCACTTTTAGAGCTGGCACATAGACTTCAGCACTGTGAGCTCTGAAATTCCTCACATGCTGATCTGTAAAGGAGTACATGTGCCATTTTCTACCTGAAAGCATTTTCTTTCTAATGGTGATTGCACTATAATGTATGCAATGTATTCACTTGTTCATATAGCGAAATGTGGCCTCTGTTAATGTCCAGTTTCAGATCTGGGTATAGCAAAATAATGAGTGGTGGCTTTCCACTCAAAAGGCTGGCTATCTCAGTGATCACAGGCAGTGCACAACCAATTGTGCTAATGAACCACTAGGCTTTTAACAAAGCATTGAAGTCAGGTAAGTGTACTCAAAAGACTGTTATGCATTTTAGAAGAAATTCCAGAGAACAGTAATACCATGTTCAGTTCCTGCTCCCCTTTCCCTCCATGACACTTCGCTTGTGGTTTGCTACAAAACACATTTTTGCCTCCCATTCTATTCAGAATAAATCACAAAAAGCTGCAGAATTCATGAGTCTGGAATACAGTTTTAGAGATTTTGATGTTATGGGGTCCTTGGTTTAGAAAGCCTTACTGACAAAATGCAGGGCAAACATTTAACTAAATATCTCTTTTAGGAAGTTATTTAATGTAAGTAAGACAGAGTTGGTACTTAATAGGGAAAAAAAAAAATAATTAAATTTCCTCTCAGCTACAAGAACTGAGAACTTACACAAGTTGAAATGAAATTCCACCAAGGGATTAATCCAAATTTATAAAATGAATAATAGTAGAAAGAGAATAGGATCTAAGGAATCTGTGGGCAAGTTTTTATACACCACATTTGCCCTTAACAAATGTGTGAATACCTTTGATCAGTAGCAGATACAACTGTGTTTTACTTAAGTAGGCATGGAAAATCTCATAATGCATAATACAATACTGGGATACATAGGATAGTATCCCAGGGGATAACAACTGTTTACCACAGATCAGCTGATACAGAGTGATTTCAGTGTGGATTTTAGCATCATGTTCCTTGTTTCTTTCTTTCTTTCCTTTTTTTTTTTTTTTTTCCCTTTCCTATTAGCATCATTACCCAGTGAAGCCAAAAAGTATCCAAAAATCTTTTTTAAAAACAGATCTGTGTTTAATAGAAATTTATCTTCAAGATACTTTCAAAATACCTTTTTGTTTTATTTTTCCACTAGAAGGGTGTATTACTGAGAGAGCTACACAGATGTCTTACATAATAACATATTGCTTTTATAAGATTCAAGTATGGTTTAGATAAAGGTGTACTTTAGCTGCTATGTGCTTGAGGAAAGTTGCCAATGAAAAATTGAGGTGATATTCTGAGAATAGTATTTCATTCTAAGAGCAGTAGCTGGACTTTGCAGAGTGACATAGCTATGTAAAGCACACACAGAAAAAAAAAAAAAAAAAAAAAAAAGATGACACAGGCACATTTTTTGAAAAATGTAACTTCTGTTTTTCTACGATATGTAAGAGTGCAATCAGAATTTCCATGACAAGGTCATTCTCCTAAACGTCTAGTAACATCTTTAAATGAAAACATTATATAAATCAACGCAGTTGCTGTGCTTTGGAAGCCATTATGTGGATGGCAGAGGAAAGAAAAAGAAGGAAAAACTAAAATCTTTTATTTATGTCAACATACTTCTGGTATTTTTTTTTGTTTGTTTTGAAAAAACAAAACAACAATAAAAAATACTTAGTGTGCTCTTTAATTGTAGTTAAGTGCAGAAAGTGATCTTTCCATGTGAGTGATCTAAGGGCACCACAGTGATTAATTTTATTGATTAATTAAGTCTTCCCTTGTACCTTTGAAGATGGGATAAATGAGTTGTCCAAGGTCAAGTAAAAGTCTGTGGTTGAAATGGGAACAAAACCAAGATTTTTTGCTGTCTAGACCTCTACTTTATCTCTATAATAAATGTTGGTAGTGAGAGACAAAGAAAAAAAATGTTCAGATGATGGTTAGTTACTTTCAGAGATAGAAAGCCAAGAGAAATGAGCATATCATTTCTACACGAGATGTTTTTAAAGTCAGTCATCATGTTCCTATTTATTCCATGCTCTGGGAAAGACATAAATAAGATTATACCTAATTTTCACTTTTAATATTTATTTTAAAATTAAGTTCTTTCTGATGATGAGCAATTCTTCACCATAGTTCTCTGGTTTGTTCAAGTGAAATGATTGATCAGCTACTACTGAGGAAAATGGAAGTTATCATAGTGTAAATATGCAGAAATAGCAGAAAAACTTTTTACTAAATTTTTGTAAAAAATCGGTATCTTAGTATCTTGTGAGTAAATACATTTTTCTGAGAAGTAATTTTCTACTGCTTTTACTTTTGATTCTAAAATAAACTTATGGTCTATATTGGTGTCCTTTTCTCCCGTTTTGACTTTTATGTAGTTTCTATAATTCTGATACTAGTGTAAAATATAATGAAAATAGTTTTATTATTATTATTATTTTTAATTTCCAGGAAAGTCAAATAACTAGCTAATAAATAACAACAACAACAACAACAACAGTAATAATAATAACTCTTCAAAACATACAAATTATAGAATAAATTATTGTTCTTCATATAAGTCTTAGATTTTCTTATTTTTAGCAATAAAATTTTAAATTTGAAGTCCTTGAGAAACTTCTCAATAATATATTATATATATATATTTTTTCCTAGTTATTAAGATTTCAATCCAAAGGCTAATCAGAAGCTAATCAAAATCAGTTCCTTAGCTTTCATGGATTTGACATCAGCCACCAAATCTTAATTTATTTCTAGGTATTACAAAATACTTTTTATATACATTTACAAAATACTTTTTATATACAAGTAGTTTGATATTAAGTATATAATTGTGTAATCAGGCAATCTCAAAATTGTGTGAAAAGTACCCACAATTAAGCTGAATGTAAAAGATGTTTTCAATAAAATGTCGCATGACTCAATTGCTGCTTCTTAAGAAAATAATTTTAATTACAGCTGATATTACCAAATGAATGTTTTCTCTTATCTGCATATTTTATTAAGTTTATTTTGAAAATAAAAAATACACGTATCTCTGAGCTAAAAACAAACTTGCCAGGAGACAACACTAACTTAAAAGATATGCAAAATAGCATAACTCTTTCTGCTGCATTTGGATTTGCAATATCACAGACCCTCCAGGACATTTGAGGTATTACACAGTAAAGTAGGATGCACTTTTAAATGTTGGAATTAAAGTTCTTATACAGAAGGCTTAATAATATTAATATGACTGATTTGCATTGCAAAGCTGATAACAAATGTAATCCATATGAGCTCCTCATAGTAGAGCTTAGGTGGTTACCTCACTATTACCCCAGTAATATTTTAATCCTATTTCTTTGGATTCTTCTTGTTTATTGACGTATATGATTACAATGTGTAGGCCAAGTTTCTGTAAACTTGTATTTAGTCCTAGAAACATCTCTGTTGAAGTTTGTCCTTGAGTTATCTGGGATTTATGGTTTGAATTGACTAATAATTCATCCTATGAAATTATGTATTTGTCTTCTAAAAATGGGCAAGGCAAACTATATTTTGAATGCGTTAAATAAATTGAATTTTATCTTGAAAGAGAAATTAGGTTATTGTTGCCGTCCTGGTTTCTTTAAGTCTGTAGAAGTCTGACTTGGTGCGTCAAGCTATGAGTTGTACAAGTGTAATATGAAGTGAACTGGTTCCCATTTAGCTGATATTAATAATAATAATAATAAATCAGACTTGCAAACAAATGAAATATTTAGTTTGTTTTTATTTTATTTTTATGTATTTTTATGAAATGTAAAAGCCATGATAAAAGTATTTTAGGAAAACGATTTTTTCTATGTCAGGGAGTTACTTTTTCTCTATCAGTCAGAAAGGATGAGCTTATTTCAGTTTAATTGTTTACAATGTTTGGTAATTGCTCAACTTCTTGACTGCTTTAAGCAAATATTCTTACTTGGATTGTACTCTCTCGCCATCCATCTTTTCATCACCAGAAACAATTGAGACTAATTATTACACCAGAATTCTCTATCTGGATTTCGACCCTAATTACCCAAATGAGACATTATTTAGATACATAATGGTGCATTGTTAAAATGGGGACTAAAGTGGCAATTTTACACTTAAAGTATTTTTAAAAAGCCAAAAATCTGTAGGTACACTAAGCATAAAGCAGATCCTTTCTACTGTTTCAACCCATGCATGTCACATCAGGTGTCACTTTTCACAGCAAATGATTCAGGCCTCTTCCCCGCAGTTCTGACAGCAGCAGGTTGAGAGCTGTCATGAACCCCAAATATCAAACAAAGAGCAGTAAGTACACTTGAGTTCATCTCAATGACATTAGAAATAAAAATAAATAATCAGGCAACTGCAAAATTAATATTTTTTCATACAAATATCAGAGCAAAGTTTTTGAGAATTTTAGCTCAGATTCTATTTCTTGAATATTTTCACAACAATTGATTTTCATACTCAATAAGTATGATATTTATGTGATTTCCAGTTTAATTTATTTACACAAACATTTAATTGGTATCTATGTTCTTTGTGACAGCTTTCATATATAGTCTTGGTTTTACATTTTATATCTCTATGTCCTTTCAGAATATACAACATTACTTCTATGAGTCAGACACAGATCTTCAGTTTTACATAACTCATATTAATAGTGAGAGTAATCTAATATAATCTAATATAAATAATCTAATTTCTTTATTCCTGACGAAAAATAATAACAATTTAGTGCTTTAATTCAAAAAGTACTTCAAAATATCATTAAAGACCATGCATTACTACTTATAGAAAATGTTCTTAATGTATGCAAATATAAAAAAGTTTTTCAGTATAGCTTTCCAAAATAAATAATCTCTTGGGCTATGTGGGTGGTGAGGCACTAGAACAGGTTGCCCAGAGAAGTTGTGGATGCCCCATCCCTGGAGGTATTCAAGGCCAGCCTGGACAACCTGATCTAGTGGATAGCACCCCTTTTCATGACAGGGGGGGTTGACATAGATGATCTTTATGGTCTCCTCCAACCCAAACCGTTTTATGATTCGATGAAGATAACTACAGTCAAAAAAAAAAAAAAAATTAAAAAAAATAACAGTGTTGTAGAAGAAGGTTTGGGGACAGACGATTATTGTATCTGATAGCTCTGCTTCATATTTTTCATTGGTTCCATTGTCAACAGAACATTTAATGATGTACTCCTATGGAACAGTGTTATAAAATGTAATAAAGAACAAAACAATTGAGATCCATAAAATTGTCAAAGTACTCAAACAAACAAACAAAACCCGAGTAATTTCAGTGACAAAACTCACCAAAATTGCAAAGGAGCACAGGCTGGCTTGTGGAGAGCAAAACATGATGTAATCAAAAATACATAAAAACTACAGCTCTGCTGCAGAAATTTTGCATTAAAATAAATCCAAAGACAGCCAAATTCTGGTCTCTGTAATGCTATTACTCTGTTATGGCCAAATGATTTCCAGCAATATACATTTGGAATAATTCTAATAGTTTTGCCACTAGAAGGAATTTTCCTTTGTATTAGGTCCTACTTAAAAGTTATTACTAATGAGAACCATAAGTAAACAGTTTCAAGTTTTTAAACAAGATACTAAGCATGACTGAAAGTATTGTTTCAGAAGGATGAAAGTCAAAAAATAAGTGCAGTTATGTTTCCTGTTTCCAGCACCTTAGGGTTTTGCCTCATGTTATATGAGTGTTGTGAATTATTTTATACAATGGGTATAAAAGAAATAGAAGACATGATGGTTCACTTATGCAAAGCAACATATTGCCAACTTCAGCTGTCATAAGCTTTACTTTAGTTTGAATTATATTTACACGGTTCATGACAAGTGCAAGCACTTTATACAGTTCAAGAACAAAGTTTCCACTGAACATAAGACAGCTTCTGTTTGTGTAAAACCAGACCAAAAACCTGGACATTTCCATTGCTCCAATGCTGTCAGAAATCTCCCTTCTTATGTCACTTTGGAGTTAACACTAGAGTTAACTTTTAGAGTTTACACTATAATGACACTATAGACACCTCTGACACTTGCACAGAACAACCCAGTCAACTTTTAAACTCTCAAAACATTTACTATTAATAAATCATTTAATTCAGTTATAATAAAGATTTTAAAATTTCACAGTATTTTCATGTGTTTATTGCTTCTGCGCTGCAACTTATCCCTCAGGCACATTAGCCTGGGTCTATTTTAAATCAAGGTGAAGCTTCCTTTGATAACCAAAAATGTGTGTGCATATAGAGTCAAACTCCATATAATGTTGACTAGGACATGGTATTCATCAGAGTCCCCTGTAGAATTCAACAAAGCTACACCCTTTTGTACATGCTGAGTGTGCAAATTAAAAAAAAAAAAAAATCATTTAATGCTCAGTGTGTGGAAAACAAAAACAAACAAACACAACAACAAAACAACAGAGCCACACTTTTTTTTTTTTTTTTGTTAGCCAAAACAAAAAGTAAAATCAGCCATGATATACTGAGAAACCTCTACAAAATCTTTGTTGTTAGGTCCTTTGATAAAAGTGATAGGAAAATACTCACTGAAGACATGCTTTTTTATGGAATTCCAGCAGCTGCAGCACAATCATGTGATTTTACGTCATGACCTATATGTATAGGCAACTCTTGTTTTATGATAATCAAATTATTATTTTTTTCTAATTCCTTGTATCAGTTATAAGCACCACTTCTGCAAATAAATAGTTTAAAAAACTTTTACTTTAAAATAGAACACCCTAAAAAGACATTTTAAACTATTTTAGTCAGAAATTTTAGGTAATTGGTTTTCACAAAGAACTAGGGAAACCTTTAAATTCAGTAGGTTGGCCTGTAAGACTTAATTGATGGATGTCCTCTTTGCACACGAGGAAGAGGAACAATGGAACAATATGCTAGAAGAGTCATACATGTTCATTAAGCAGATGAGAGAAATAAAAACATTTTGATTAAAATGAAAGCAAGAGGATTTATGCAATGGCCTGTATATATCTTCCAGTTATTGAAATAAACCCTATTGAATTTAGTCAACTCTTAAAATGGTAAGGAGGAAGACATTTCAAAGGACAAAACTAATTTATTTTCTCTATTAAAATCTGAGAAATTGCTCAGAGGAGAAATATTCTTCATATAAAATATCATATTTATATATAGCTATTTTTTTGTATATATCAAAATGCATAAATTTGTTTTGGTTGAGAAAGAACGAATGGATCTTTAGAGGGAAAGTACCACATGACAATGGAAAATATGCCACATTTGAAATCAGTATCAATGCAATTTAGAAAAACAAATACCATCTCCACCTCAGGCAAAGAACCACTAAAGACACAATAAGTATCTGAAACTAATTAAAAAAAGAGGTCAGAGAAGCAATCAAATATAAATTTCCTTGGAAGGAAAATTGCTGCTGAGATATAAAGGTCTGTCTTTAAATGGGAACATTTAAAAAAAAATAATCATTTGTCAAGGCTTTCATCTTTCTTTCCCTAGCTTCAGTGCAGAGCATCCTTTCAAGAGATAATGGAGAGGCAAAGCCCAGCACAGTGCTCCATATTAGCCTGATCACCACCCTGCAGGCATCCATCCCAGCCTGGATGCCTCTATTGTTCTTGTCCTAGGGTAGGCTAACGTGCTCATTCCAGTGAAGGCAGTGCAGGCACCAAGCATCACTCTCCGGTGACCCTTGGCTGGAGCATCATTTATGGATGGGAGGGGACTTCCTCGCCTGGAAGGTTGCTGTGAAATGGACCTTTATGAAGATCAGTGTGAGCAGAGGCAAACACTGCCTTAGGAATTGGCACCACCAACAAACTGCCTCACATAGCCTTTCAAATTCTTTTCCTCCTCAAAATAGTATTGCTTCTGTCTTGCCTTCTTCTCTCCTGCAACTCTCTGTGCCCCTCATGTAGGCACTAATCTCTTTGTGAAATAGTGACACCTTCTGTTTTTAGTCCTATCTGGCCAGATTAAGACTGGTAGTAGGGTATTAGAAGATGTTCAGCCTGGGAATTTTTGATATCTCTTCCAAGGAGATGAGAGCGGAGATCCCTGCAGCACCTCCAAGGACAGCAGCTGAGCAAAGAGGAGTGCTAATTTTTTGGAAGACTGCCATGCCTTTGCAGTGCTGTAGAATGTACCGCATGGAAGACATGCTAGGGCATCTTCAGCATGAAGACTTTTGCTTACTCACCTGCAGAGGATATATGACAACAGTCATGTCCCTCAAAGCATAATCGTTACATGAAAGGTTATGAGGCTCTCACAGTAAGGCTACTCACACAAAAGAGATAATACAGATGGGAACAGCTCGGAATATATAAGCTAAGAATACTTTTTGCTCCAAAGAACAGACCTGAGGAGGGGTGAACACCTCAGGAGATTCTCTTCTGACTGCAGGTGGTACAGCTCCTCTATGTCACCATACTATCTGGATGGTAGTACCATGTGGATCCCAACACTTCCAGGTAGCAGAGTGGTAGGAGAACACAGGAGGGACAGAGCACAGTACAGATGAACAGCTTCACCATGAGTGGCAAAGAGAAGGACAGAAGACAGAGAAAATATTAGGGTACCACATGATTTCATGGAAAGCATGTGTCAAAGCCATTAGACTTCTGATTTGGAGCTGTGCACAAACTGTTCACATTGAGCTTATTTAAATACATGACATTTTTACAATTGCCCTCAGTCTCTTTCCTATTGTTTTACAATTAGTTCTTGTTTTCCTGTCTTTAATTAAACTGTAAGCTGTTTAGGGCACCATCATGACTACTCCTATTTATACAATGTTTGGCACATGGACTTTGAGACATTACCAAATGTGGAGAAAAAAAAAAAAAAAAAAAAAGAGAAATATAAGACAGCAAAGTATTATGAAATAAGTTCTAACTTAGAAGTCTATTCTTCTAGACTATATAAACTTTGGTTATTCAGCTCTGGAAAAGTAAAAACAGAGAAACCAGTGGAAAAACATTAAATAGAGAAAAAAGTATAATAACGTATACACATGCCCAGAGAAATGGAAATATAAGCAGGCAAGAGCAACCACATTAAAAAGCCAAGTTTTGGATCAGTAATGCAGCACAATGTATGCAGGTGTTTTATAAAAGGAAGCCAAGTAATTACTATGTCTTAGAATAAAACAAAAATAAACAGTCCCTATGACTCTCTTCCTTCGGATTCTGCCAAGGAGCAGGTTGTCTTAGAGTTTAAGGATCAGTATGTATTCTTCAGTGTATTTTGCATCTTCAGGAAGGGTAAAAAACCTAGATCACTTGTAGACCTTCACTTCCTGGAGAAGACCCACATCTGAAATTGACACAAAATTACATGAGTGAGATCTAGATTTTTTTTATTATTATTATTTTTTATAACTGTTCCTAGGCTTTTTAATCAAGGGTGTGGTTCTACTATAATTTGCTAAGAAGTGCTAATCAAAAGGTATCTTATAGCAAGAAAACAGGCTTCCACATATTTTACCTTTTCAGATTTTATTGAAGTATTTGAATGTTATTGAACTACTTGAATTTAAGTCACAATGAAAGAGACGAAAAAGCCCTTTATCTAGCTGAGCTCTCTTGCAGACAAGACTCTAAACTATTCCTTCAAACTCCTCTTAATTTATCACTTGGATGATTTTGTTTTTCTTTGTTTATACAAACCTTGTTTTCAGTCTCGTCATATCCATATTGAGTTCTGTAATCTCACCACTGCACAGTCAGTAAGAAGAGCACAAGAAGGTACCTGAAAAAAACAAACAAACAAACAAAAAAAACAGTGATACAATGATATCAGTAACTACATGTACACATGAAAGGCCAAAAGAAGAAATACATGTAGCTGGGGAAAGGGGGAGGAGGGGGAGGGGAGAGGGTTGAGGACAGAAGGGGCCCATCTAGAGCCCAAATAGGCCATTGGCATTGAAGGTTAAAGATGTTATGCAATCTTCCTTTCCCTAAAATTAAGATCTTTCAGCTACGCAAAAAAACAATACCTCATAACACAACATGCGCAAGTCTCAACATAGGCAGACGAATGTGAACATTTTATACGTCTTTGATTTGTTTTGGAATATGTTACTGCCCTTTCTGCTGAGTGACCTCATCACCCAGCCTTAGCAAATGCTGCTGAGCTGACCGATGAACAGTGCAGACACTGCAGGGTGAATCCAAGCATTTGACTAGGAGAGCAGAGAAAGATGACATGCTCCAGAAAAGCTTTTTCCTGGACCAAGAATGGATAGTTATGGCAAACAGATGGAGGGAATCAAATCCAAAACACAGTGTGTGACCTATCTCAGATAGAGTCTCCTTCTTGCATTTCATTTTGGCAAAATTCGAGTATCGCTTATGCCAACAGAATGTTCCTGAGCTGCAGATCTTGTCAGCAGGCTCCAAGTTACAGTCCTTCCCCTATCAAGACTAAATGGACAAAATAGTTTGACAGTAAATATTGAGCTCAGAGAAGCATATACAAAACATAACATAACATAACATAAAAAACAAACAAACAGACAAACAAACAAACAAACAAACAAAAACAAAGCAGAATTGCTATTCCAGAGTCAAGGGAACCCATTTTTGCCTTTCAGCAATGTGACAGCCTTGGTTTCACATTGGCCAAAACAGGCAGCTCTTTCAAGGCTCTTAAAATCCACAGATGTGAAAGAAAACGCACTCTGAAAAGGGCTGTGTTGTTAATCTCCCTAAATCAAAGATGGAAACAGGACTCCATTTCTCTGTTTGACAACGGCATGACAATACCCTAAGTGAAAAACGGAAGAGCCAGTCCCTGCTAACTCTGCCAAAGACTCAGAGCCACACAGAGATTTGCTAACAGAGGTATGGGTCAGAAAGTCAGGAACCGAGACAACCAGCACAACATCTGGAATCTGAAAGACCCAGCCCATGTTTCTGAGAAGTCTTATTTATTTACTACCTGTTCTCTTAAAAGGAGTCATCAGCCTTTAACTGGCTTCTAAAAATGAAAAATTACAACTGGGGGGAAAAAACAGAAGGAAGGCAAAGAAGACTACAGACTAGCAAAATCTCAGACTGAAGTCATCCTGTGTGGCCTGCTTTCTTTTGTGTAAGTCAGGAAGAGAAACCATCACACAGAAAAAATGTCACTGATATTAATAGTTATGAGGAGAGTAACACAAAACATTCATAGTGAAGACATTTGAAATTTAGTCATTGAGTGTGCCAGAAACTACTGTCCTTTTTGATCTGCTGTCACTGCTTCTCATGACAGCATCCCCCAACCTGTTTCAGCAAAAGTCAACTGCGTTGCTTGAGAAGAAGCTTTTTGCCAGCCCACCTTATTTTGAATCAGCTTTGGGCACGATTGCACTGACAGCTATGCCAGCAGCCCAGAAAGGACTGCAACTTTTTTGGGAGGAGAAGTGATAGCAAGCAGCTTGAGGAAACCTCTTCATCAAGGATCAGTACTGATTCATAGCACATGTGATTGCAAGCAGAATCAACAATGTTTTTTCCTTTCCTGTTCCCTACTAAAAGAGCTGCACAGATCTTTTGTTCTTATTTCTGCATAGGGTCTGAATGCTTGTCTATCTCAGACATAGAGTAGGGACCTGAAGAACTGTTTTGCTTTGCTCTGAAAGCAGCTCTCATCTCAAGATATACCAATTCTCATCAGTCTGTTCTATTTACAGCTTTCTGCCATCCCCCAGCCAGACACCCCTCTTAGTTCAGAGGGGTGTAACCAAAGGTGCAGACTTTTCTCTATAGCTTATTTTTGATTTTGTCAATGTTTACCTCATGTCAAATGTAATGACAGACACCAGAATAGGAAGCAAACCCTACCTCTCCTCACATGCAACTGCTCTAGAGCACCTGTCCTCACAACAATTGTGTCCCTGGCTGCCTTGGAGAGTTGTACCAGTTACAATCCTCAGAGCTTGGATGGGGATTATCCCAGGAGATGCACTCTGTGGGTTCAAAGCCCTCCTCCAGAGTGAGGAGATGAGTACCATTTGAATCTGTACCTTCTGCTGCAGCAGGCTATGGTTGAACTGTCATTAACATTGGGGACTACTTAAAGTTCCTATTTCTGAGTAAATGAAAAGCCATTTCTGTGTTTCTTCTGTCGCTCTATTCAGGGAACTTCTGAGCCCGTGGAGGAGTCTTGGATTAGTGAACGGGTGTTTTCTGTTTGTTTTAGATGACTCTTTGAGACTTCTGTTTGGCCTTGGTCTTTTCAGGAGTAGCATGGTGCTTGAAAATGGGGTGGTCTCAGTCATTCTCAGAGACTTGGACATTAAGATCCTCCTAAATCCTCCTTTAGTCAGTGTAAATTGCTGAAATCTTCTGTGTGCTGGGGTCTGCTTCTGACTATGTCTTTTTATACTGTGAGAACAATGGGATTCAGATGTTGGGGAGGGCTTGAGGGACTACTGTAATACAAATAATACATTAGTATGACATGCCACTTGGAGTGTGAAAAGCACAGTATAAAATCCCAACAGCTGCATTCCTTTGCTGTTCTGGCAAATAAAACTCAATTGCAAACACAGAAAGTGGATGCGTGTGCACCTGAAGCAAAATCATCTTTCAGCCTGAGAGAATTCTAGTGGAAACTGTTGTGCTGTGTGTGCCAAGTCTCAGTTGTGATTGTGGTGAGCTGCCTTTCCCACATACCTCCCCCAGGCAACAAAAGAATCAGATGCCAGGATTTTTGCTAGCTTGGCATTACACAAAAGGCCTGTGGGGTGGGTACAATGGAATTTAGGCTGGGCATGGAGGCAGGACAGAGCAGCATGAGTCTCCAGCAAACAATAGCAACAGCAGGATCAAAACAGCAGGCAGAAAGCATATGCACAATTACCAACAGAAAATATCTGGAGCTACAAGGGCATTAGATCCTTAGCCTTGTCCCCAAGTAGGATTTCACTGTTGCTAATGTAACCACTACTGAATCAGACATGTATTTCACACAGTGCAATGCATATTACCCCAAAAAGAAGGTGAAACTCATAGGGATTAACCTAAGGCAACAAATTCCAGTCTATTCCTTCAGGTTTACAGGGCATTAAACCAACCAATGTCCAGACTTCCATTGCATAACAGAGGCACAAGCATTAATGCACAGAAGCAGCAGAACAGAAATTCAGACCAGTTGCCAACAGCAGAATCCAGTATACAAGAAAGCAGGGAAATATATACAATCATACCTGAATAATAAGTGTCCAAATGAGAAACACTGGAGAAAAGAGTCATTTAATTTGCACAAAAACCTGCTAGTTTATTTTTCCCTTTTAGAGAGTGGGGATAAAAAATGTTTTCTGCTCACTGTCTCAATTCTATAAGACATAAACATATGACAAGCTAGTTGAAAAACAGCTTATGTTGGAGGGGAAACTCACAGGAAAAAAAAATCTTGAAAAAAAAAGTTAATTTAAAAATACAAATCCCTTCATATAAATACATATATGGTGTAAAGAAGAAAAACCCTTCTAGATCTAAAGTTTCAGGTGTGCACCTGAACTGTGTGAGGTCATTCTCAGGTCTGGATTTTTGTCCCATCTTTATCATATTGGCATTGAGGGTAGAGGGAAAGAGAAGGATCAAAATGAAAATATGGCAAGTAAAAATGGCACATTTAGTTTTTCCAAAACTATGAATAATTTTGCTGAAAAAGAAATGAAAAGGGTAGTGAAAGATAGATAAATGGTATATTGTACTGGAGGGGAAAACTCTATCAGTGAACTTGGAGCATCTTCATATGGTTATTAGAATTTTAAACCATTTTACCAATCCTAACACAGTTAGGTAGCAGCATGCATAAGTGCCTGCATTGTTGTGATTTAGACTATGCTGGCATTTAAAATTACAAACAAAACAAAACAAAACAAACAAAAGTCTTACTATTGTAACTAGACAAAATATTTTGTTAAAATACTTTCTTCAGTATGATTGTTTGGGCCTGAGTTTAGTGCTACAGACAGAAATAAAATGTTTTACACTGCTGATAATTTTTCATGATTGGTATTGTTTTTAGTGTTTAACCTCTTCCTGATACATTCTCAGAACATTTTCTAGTTGCCAATACATATGCTTCTGAAGTTAGAAAACAGCTAAAAAACCAACCTGAATAAATGGATCCTGTCCATACTATGTAAATGACCAATCATTAATCTTCAAGTACTACACGGAAGCATGAAGTGGGAATTAAATTATATTTTATTTCTGAGGAGGCCTTCCAAATAAAAATGTCTTCAGTATATACAAAAAATAACACATACAGATCCTTAAAAACATTTCCCACTCCTCACAGTAGAGCAGTTGAGGTCTGCCAGCATGGTACTTCCCATCTTAAGAAGTGATAGACATAGAATAACTTTCAGTCAACTCACAGAAGAAAATTGTCAAGACTAAGGACAGAACACACTATACATTTCAGAAACAGCTGCCAGTACTGGGCAGCCAGTGAGATTTCCAAAACTGCTCATGCTATATTAAGCAAGAGTACCTGGACAGAAATTGAAAGCAAGTGTTAAAATCTCTTTGCAAATCCCATCTTTGTGATTCCTACGTGTTGGTTTCCGAATATGATCATGGGGGCTAGGACCTGTAAGCAAAACAGCCATGGCTTTCCACAGTTTTACCTGGTTTATGAAGAAGTAAAATAGCCCTATATAAATCCATGTGCAAACTCCTGACACAAATCAGATGGTGAATATCAGATTCTTGGTTACAGAAGAGTAAACAAGAGTTAGGCCATCAATGTTTATTCACTCATTCAGCCCTAATGCAAAACTATCTTTCAGCAGCGTCTGGCATGAGAGCAATCATGACAGATTTAGAGGCAGCTTAGTTCAATGCTCTACTGCTGAGACATGACAGTCTGCCAACAGTACTCTTTCCTATAAGCTTAATGGACATCGTAGCAGAGCAGCAGTCACTGGTGACAACTCATACACAGTTCCTTAAGGTCTACCTGGCACTGGCTTTCTAAGATGGCTTCCAAGGCTCACCTTTTTCATATCTTTTCATGTGCTTTAATACAAAAATGAAGGTTAAGAAGATACATATAACTAACCAAAGTAGCCAGAAATCTTGATCTGAATCATGGGAGTTTTGTTTGTAAGTTTTTGCTATAGATTATTAAGAAAACAAACAACCCGGTTTTATTAACAGTTTCTGTGATATTCCAGATGGCAGAAATTCATTCTTCAAAATCTGCTGAAATGTTAAAAGTTCTGTTTGATGAAGTATTGGGATCAGCTCTAACTTGTTCCTACAGCCTAGAACAACAAGTGAAAAAAGCTCTCACTCAGATCCGATCTGCAGCGTGACTCATCGTGCCTTGACATTTCCCCAGCCGCTGGAAGCGAAAGCAAAGTGCAGGCTCATTCTTCAAGAGAGAAATTCAGCACATCGCTTTGGGAAGGCCAATGACCGGTTCTTTCTAGTGATTTTTTGTGCTGATACCGTGCTCTGGGTTATTCACGTCAGGGGTGGGTGGGAGAGCGGGAGCGGAGCTGCTCCAGGTTACAGAGTAAACAGAGGGTAAGCAGAGGGCTGACCACTCTGCCTCGCTGCCGGAGCCAGGCTGATTGCTGAAACCATTAGAGCAGCAGCCCTGGCAGCAGGAGGCTCTTCAGCCTCCAGGCCACCATAAAACAGGAGCTCCTTTTTTCCACAAGAAGAAAAGGCCAGTGTCTCTAAAGCAAGCACTTTACCACATGGTTCTTTTGGTGGAGAGAAAAAAAGCCTGACACTGTACCTTAGAAAGGCTGAGGGGTGGGGGGTGGGGGGAGGGAGAGAGGACAACAACAACAAAAAAAAGCTGCTCTTTTTCTGTGCTTGTGTACAACTTCCTTACTTGTTAGGGAAACAAATACAGGCAATATAAGCAATACAACACAAACACATCAGACATGATTTTTTAGTATTATGTACTTGCTTTACTAAGTTTTTTGTCAATGCTTTTTCTGCACAGCTGTGACACCAAACTAACTTAAGGACTCTACTGCATGAAGGTGCTACCTTTTCCAGCCCCAGATCTCAATGCATTTCATACAGAAAAGGCAGACTGCAAGTAAGGCTGGGCTGTTTCTCCATGGCATAGGCACCCCCAGCCTTCACCAAAGCCTCACAGCTTTTAGTAACACATTCATCAACATGCTGCTAATGATAAGCATGAACTCCATTTTGCCTAAAAGGAAAGTGAGTCAGGAAGAGCTGGGCTGGTCAGTCTAAAGTTAGAGATGGACCCAGCAATCTCTCAAGGTCCATTTTGGAGCGTGTTACACCTCTTACTGTGGCAGGTCCATGTTCTCTGTAAGAGGACTTACTGAAACATGAAGATACTTTAAGATATCCGAACAGAGCGACCTATAATATATACTGCCATCATGTAGTGATTGCAACCTATATTTATACAGCTAACGGTTTACTCTTTTTTTTATTATTATTATTATTATTATTTATTATTATTATTATTTCTGCTGTAACTGATAAAAAAAGGACACAGAATCTGATTTCTTTCACAGATTTCTTTCTATCTAGAACATCTTCCTATCTGCTCACAAACTGCAGGTCTAAACATACAAACTGAGATCTGTGCCTCTGAAAGCACACGTCACTGCTTGAAGTAAATATTTAGCTCCTTTGGCTTCAAGAAGGAGAAAATGTATACCTCAATAAATGTTCACATCCCAAAAGGCAAGTGATCACAGAGTGGACTTGATGTCTGCCTTAGTATGTTGTGTTTTGATTTCTCATGATGTGACAGAGTTTATGTCAGACAGAGTAGTTAGCTACATAAGCCTTTTCTAGGTCCATCACAAGAGGAACTGATGAGAGCTTTTGGGAGATTAGGCCCTGGCTGCTCTCAAATTACAATGGTTACCACCCTGACTTACACATGTCCCCATGGACATATGTAACTTGGGTTAAAAAATGCTCCTGCCAAAAGTATAGCTATAGTTGGAGCATCTAGTGGGGATGCACCCAACAGTTCAGCAGCTGATGAATCACCCTTTCCATCACTCATTCATGTTTTAAATTACTAACAGCATTTACCTCCTTTCTGGCATTTTATTTCTCTTATTCCAAGGTGCTTTCAAAAAGTCAGTATTCCTATCTATAATGAGTTCATGGGAAATGTTTTCTTAAAGTTCACAAACAGGGTTTACAGCAGAACTAGGAACTCTCTTTAGGTCTCCTAAATAAATGATGAGTGCTTTAACTGCTATTATAAAACCTTACTGTATTTAACCATTTCAGTAACACATGGTCTGGCTCTCCTCGGCAGACACAGCTTAAAATATACACCAAGGAAGCAATAGGGGTTTGAGTGGAGTTTGCAAAAGACTTATCAGGAAATATTTTAAAATTCAGATTTTCCTTCATACTCTTCAGTGGATTATGTTCAGTAATCTCACAGTGAAGCCAGACAGAGATTCAAGCTGGAGCAGCCAAAGCAGACATTTGGATAACAATGTTTTCATCAGTGTTTTGTACAGGTTTTGAGATATATTATCTCTCCCATGCTGGTTGATTGCTTGCTCCAATCCCTCCTACACATCTCTCAATCTCTTCATTCCCCCATACCCAGCAAAACACTAAAATGAAATTGCTATCATTGTGCTCATAGGTAATATTTCTTCTCTTTGCTTTCTGTCTCATCTATTTAAAATTATAATCTCTTCAAGACAGAGTCTGTCTGTTTTTTTGTTGTTGTTGTTGTTGTTTTTTTGTTGTTGTTGTTATGTTTTTTTTTTTGTGTGTGTGTGTTTGTAAATTGTGTGACATATGATACCTAAACTGAAGACAAGCCTTCAGGCACTAACAGATGAACTTTGGCACTTCTTGATGAAGTGATTAAATGCGCCTACCTCACATTTCTGCCAGAGGTCACTGTCATCCTGGAGCAAAGGGAGATATGTGCTTGCTCTTCAGCCATCTCACTTCACTGCTCAGTCTATTATATTATACATCTACAACTGTCTATACAAGTTTCAGTGCCAAGCTGAATTGCAACAATTGAGGAAAAACAATTAAACTGTTCATCCATCCATATCTCATAAAAGATTTTCCTCAGCTAAGGATCCATATTTCTCAGAATAAAAACATTATTACAATGTGAGCATATTTAGCACTTCAGAAGAAGAATTTACACAGAATAAGTTGCACAGCTCCTTAGTAAAGAAGTTTCCATCCTTCTGTAAGATCATTTTTAAAGGAGCTGCTGTAGAAACAGTAGAAATTTCTCTAAGGCTACAAGAGTGCTTGTATTGTATCCCTAATTCTACTGTCTAAGAGACATGAATAATTGAGTAAGTCACAAACATTTATAGATATTTCTTCAGTGGCCTAAAGCACATTTAGGCAAACTCAACTCCTGTAAGTCTGGGAGAGCTGGATTTCTAGTTGCGATATAAACACCTCTCACATAGCACATGATATCACACCTGTGATATATACACCTCTCACTCCAAAATACAAAAAAAAAGAAATTTTTGACTTCAATTAAATAAGTAGGTAATATCACTTTTATTTATGTTCTCATGGAGTTTAACAGTTAAATGTTTCACAGTTGATCAGGTGTTTGGGGCACCTTTTTTGGCTTCTCAGGAACAGCAGACAGCTATTCCTTCCCTGGCTGCCACAGGCACTGGCCTGGCCCTGGTGCCTGAGACTGGGGCTGCTGGGCTTGCTTCTCACCCATGTGTCCACACTGTCCTGTGAACTGGACAAGAGAAAAGCATCCCTAGCTACTATTATCCTTTGTCACAAGTAGTTTCCAAAGTTTCTATCCTTGTGTCTTCCTCCCTAAATTATCCAGTCCAAGAAGAGAAAGTGTCTTTGCCAAGGGGGCAAAAAGGCTACCCAGAGCACAAGCAGCAGAGAAGGATCGTACATTTGCATCCAGCATTCTTCCCTGAGCAAGAGCTGTGGTGTCACTGCAGAAGAGGTCATGGAGAGAAACCCAGAGATTAGTTTGCTCCACCAAGAGCTCTTGCTTTCTCCTCTCAGAGGCCCATTGCAAAAAAGGAAATGGGATCACAGAGATCAGAGGTTTCAGATCCAAACAGCCCATAAAGATAAGTAATGTTCTCAATTCTCCCTTCATTCATTCACAAAGGCATGATAACCAGACAGAGCTGCACTACTGACACATGAGGGAAGAGGAAATTAGTGGGGAAATCCTGTGGCAACAATTAGAAAAGGAGCTAAGGGAAAGCAAAATAAAATAAGACAAACTTTTATTTCTGCTCAACCTCTCTTCTTTCTACCACACAGTTTCTACAGAGTTATATCCTTCCTATTGAATTTACCAAGAATTATTCTCTGCTTCCTATCTGCCCCTCTTAGTAGGTAATGAATTCCCCAGCCTCAAGTCAGCTGTGAAGCTGACTCAAACTCAAACCATATAGTTGTATAAACTAGGCCACGTTTATCCCCCAAATGTATGCACTGCCCATGTTACCTCTCATTACAATACACTGCTCCAGGCCTGCACCTTGTGCAGTCCTTCTCTTCCTCTGAAACCGAAAAGGGTTTATAAGTTTTGCTGAGTATCAGTTCACAGGTTCTGCCTGGGATACAAGCTGAACAGCCCTGGATTTTGCTACTGAAAAGGACTGATACAGAAAACCAGTCTGAAGATTTTCTCTCTCTTTTTTTTTTTTTTTTTTTTTTTTGGTTGTTGCTGTTTTTGTAGTTCAGGATATCCTTTTAGAAATTGTTCCCTCTATAAATCTGTAAGGGCATAGACCATGCACATGTGTTTCCAATGTGATTTAAGAACACCTGTTTTATCACTGAAATAATATGGAAGGATAAGCTTATCTATTCCATATTTTTAATTTGTTTTGGAAGCAGGGACTCATTTAATCAAACTAGAACTTTCTGCTTGCTTAATCTCTCTCTCTTTTTCCCTCAACATTTCCCAATCCACATTCCTCTGAAAGTGGAAAGGGCCCTAAGCAATGATATGTTTGAAGCTTACCTGGCAAGAAAGAAACACTTGGACTGAAATGTGTGTCCACAGATAAGGTGGGAAATGAACACTGTTATGTATTACGAAATTCACAATTTTTACTACAGGACAGCTAGACTGCATTATTTCAAATATTGGCTGAACAGTATTTACTGATTGCTCTCAGATACAGCAAAAATATGTCGCAGGTTGGAGTTGCTTTTTATTTGCTTTATGTCAGTGAAATCTTCCTCAACAAGAGTGCAGAAAAGCGTGCTCATTATAATAAAAAGTAGAAAGACTTGAAAAGCAAGGTATGAGAAGCTCTGAAACAAAGGCAAACTCAAGATTTCTGACTTTTTGTTAACAACTTAGTTTTGTTAACTTCCACCAAACTGGAAATCATATATGAAGTGGTCATTATATCAAAAAAAAAAAAAAATAAATAAATTTAAATTCCAAAGATGGCAGATACATTTTGATCTGCTGTAATACTAAAA